GAAAATTGTTCTCAGATCTCACGTTCAGAATTAAAATACTTTAACATAGTAATTAATGTTGAGTTTATGTTGCAACTTAATGACCAGCCCGTCAGTGCTGTAAGTGACTAACCGTTACCACGCAAGCCTGAAGGTATGGGTAGAAAAATCTTTCCATTTGTAGTGAGCCCATCTACGTAATTGACTGTGGCTCTGTAGCGGGAAGTAACTGTTTCTGTGCCCATCGTTCTTGGAATGCAGTGAGGGAGAGGAATCTGTGGTAGCTGGATTGCCTCCCTGAACCCTCTCACTTCATGGTGATAGAAAAGGAGATTTCTGTGGGACTGGCTGTGCTCAGTGTCTGAAAAAGCACTTTGTTTAAAATGTTTTTATTTTTCTGTGTTTAAAAAAAAAAAAATTAAAATTACTTACTCAAACTTACTGTAACAGTTTCCGGTAGCCCTTCTTCAAATATGCACAATTCCTTTGCAGCCATCGTGGTGTACAGCATTCTGGGAAGAAGCTCGCTGGAGCTGGTGCAGCATGGGCCACTGAGCCAGGGTTTTAGTTCAGAAACCCGCTCTAAACTTACTGCGTGCTTGATTGGTTTTACTGCACGTTCAGTCCAGCCTTTGCTTGGTGCCAGAGTTGTTTGGTTGCTGGTCCTCCTCTGAATCCATTTTTAACTAGGTGTGGGAGGGATTATTTCTTCATGGGCTAGGCGCTAACTAACAGGAAAGTTAAAGGGTAAATATTCAGCTTTCATGAAAGAGAAACTGGGGACTCCTTTTGTGGAAGGCGTAGTTGGATGGGGTTACCTGCGTAGAAAATACACTGGAGCACTTGCGCTGACAGCAGGGGATCCTCATCCCTGCAGGGCTGCTGTCCACAAGGCTGGAGGCACTTCTGGGCATTGGCTGCTCCTTACTCTCCTTACTCTTTTATCTTCTGTTAGGTAGCAGCAATGGGACATTTCTGGAGGAGGGGAGCGTGGCTCTGGGGACTGGTGCTTGGGGCACTCAGAAAGGACTGGTATGGGTTCTGGTCCCTGCTCACAGCGTCGCTTCTTTACTTAACTGGTAACTTGAATGGAAAATTGAGGTGCAGTTCTGCAGCAGGGACCAGTCCCCCAAGCCCTGTGTCCACTAGGCTGGTGGGGAGCCTATGAGGGGGTCACCCCCAGAATTACGTGCTGCTAAAAGTGTGTTTCTTCTTACAGGCATCGCAAGGAGACTAGTGCTGGGGCTCTGCACGGCAGGAGAGGCAGGGCTGGCTGCCTGGGGAGGCAGAGCGTTCTCGGAGCATCCGGGGGCGGTGGGGCAGCATCTGCGGGTGCTCTTCAGTGAGGTAGGCTTGATGGAGAGCCTGTGCCAAAGCGGGGGAGGTCACAAAAGTTCCTACCCCAGCTAGATCCGTCCTGCTTGGAGACGTGGCTTTCACCTGCGGACCTCACCATCGTGAGAAGTTTAACAGCCGAGAGAGCAGCCAAGGCATGTGAGAGGCGTGCCTGAAACGGCCGTGGAAGTTGAAGGCAGTGTCTCATTACTAGTTACTACTTGCTTTGCAGGAGCTCTTTGCTTTTTCTGTTAAAAAGATGAGTTCACGATGGTGCCTGCATTTCATGCACTGCCAAGAGAGGCCCGTGAATACATCCCAGGGTTTGGGAAGCAGTGTTGTCTGAGATTTAACTCTTCCACTATTTCAAACCTCGGGTGCAGAGTACTGGAAGAACAGACCGCTTTGTCATCTGTTCAGTTCCTGTTTTGAGTAACCATTGCAGGTGGCACTGCCCAGTCTTTGAGGTTGCCATGATGCGAGTCACCTTTTTTGAAACCAGAAGTTGGAAATCAGGTTCTTAGACTCGACTCTCTGCACCGACATTTGAAAGGGTCCTGTTTCAAGCGGCGCTGAGGATGTCCAGCGCAATGTGGACTTTGGTGAAGTTTGCTGGTGGATGCTCTTTCTTTCAGAAGATGGCGTCGCTTGTGTTTTTTGCCTAGAAAATAATTAGGATTATAATTTTTGTCCTACGTGTGCTTAGCTGAAGACTTTGCTCCTATGCCTGCACATAAGACATTTCCAGGTATGCCAACAAGGCCATGGCAACCCCTAATCCAAGCACTAGGCAAGAATTAGTGATGTGCATGTGGAAGAGGAGGGGGTTTTTGTACTGCCTCAGCATTTCATTATCACTAAGGAATCAGAATCAACTCCAGCTGTTTAATTGCAGCTACCTGTATTTTATCTTTGTCAACGTCTTCCCTGCAGCCAGAGGAACAACCACCCAAGGAGGCTCTGTACTGCTCAGGGCTGTTCATCAGGCTGTTACGCGATGGAGGGCAGTACAAAAGTCAGATGATGTCATTAAATGGTACATGTTATCCCAAGGTAAGCTGAAACAGAGTTCTCGGTAGCAGAGCAAGAGGAAGGCAGTAGCTTTAGTAGCTAGTCATGAGCCAGATCCTCAGCTTGCCATTTGTCTTGCACATCTGCAAGTCTTTATGATCCCAAACTCAGAGACTTAAGTGTTTCTCCCTCCCTGCCCCCTCCTGAGTTCACAATATTATTCTCCTATTCAGGCATCTCATCTTCTGTCCTTTGGTTTCCCTTTTTCCTGGAGGCAGTGTGTAACTGAGAATCTGCCTTTGTTTCCCGCCTGCCCCCCCCCCCTTCTCCCCCTCAAACACCAGCACTTTTGCATTTTTTTTCCCAGTATTTTCCTTCCTAACTTCCCTACCAGCACATCCAAATCTCTGTAAAACTCTCTTTCTCTCTTATCATAGAAATAATCTTTCATTTCAAATACGTAATATGACATAGCGACTCAGGTCTTTGCTTAAGGACTATTTCCACAAGACTTTTTATTCCTATTGAACTGCTTTTAAAAAAATAAATTCCTTAGCCCATCCCTTACCAGAGGGCTGGTTCGGAGGGCCTTCAGATTTGGCACAGCTACACTGCTGTGGACCTAAATGTGCAATGTTCAAAGCACACGGGTGGCCTCAGTTTTCTTCAGTCAGTAAGTATTCCCAGTCCTATTTTATTTTCTTCGCTCAGGGTTCGTACAGCTTCCCACATCTGTTTTTGTTTGCCGCTCTTGCTGCTGTACGTGCTACAGCGATACAACCTCTGGTTTTGTTGCTGTAACTCGCTGCTCGCCTCGCTCCCCAAGGAGCTGGTGGCTGGATGGAGCACGTTCAGTGCGTGGGTGATAACTCGTCTCTGTCTTTATAAAAATGTCTCGTTTGCTGGCCTAGTGCCACAAAGTGTGTGTTAGACACCTTAGAGGTGTTTGCTGCTGGGAGAGCCTTGGGTGTGAATGAGGGCGACCTGGCTGGAGAGGCAAGCAGAGCCTCTGAAGAAGAGGGCACAAGCGCCATTTCTAAGGCAGGGACGTGCGTTAGGTTTGTTTTGTGCCTCAGGATGCTTATGAGTATCCTCGTCACAGCTGGGCCTGCATTGGTCACGCTGCAGTTGTTTGGAGTCATTTGAAACATTCACTGTGCTGATGTTTTTGGTGTTTCAGGGTCAATAAAGGCTGTAAACAAAATCCTGAGTAAAATTCAAGCAGCTCATTTACAGCCTGGTAACGTGAGAAACCGCCTCTCTACATGCTGTCCTCTGGTCTTTGGGGTCATGTGGGCTGGAGCAGCACATTACCAGCCTTTGGCATTTGGCGTTGGTTCCGCTGTGCCTCCGTTACCCTCTGGATGGGATCGGGGACGGCGAGGCTGGGGCTCGGTGGAGTTCTGCTTGCTCGCTCTGGCCGAGGTTCCCTGCCCCCTAGGGGCGCGCTTTGGTGTTACTTGTATCGGAGCTGAAGCGAAAGTCAAGCAGCTGCTTCTGCTCCGAGTCTGCAGTGACTAATCCAGAGAGCTGGTAACTTTACAGTGAAAATGCAACTGCTGGGCCAGTTCTGCAGAACTGAAGTGTCCGTGTATAGGGAAGGGAAATGTATAGTCTGGTGGGGGGAGGGGAAGAGAGTACTCGTGAGCGTGGGATTCAACCAAGAGTAATAACATAAGGGTGCTGGATTGGAGCAGGGAGGAAGCCTTGTCTGTGGCCTTTGCAAGGATGACCCTGGTGAAGAGCTGCCACTGACTGCAGGTGCTGTTCTTCCAGTTGCACAGACTGTAGAATACCACGTTAAAAAGAGGGAGAAGTGGGAAAAAGCAAGCAAAGTCATTCTTTCAGAAGGGTTCTCCAGTGCACACAAATATGAAGTGTGTCTTACACGGAGATGTTCTTTTCCCTTGAAAGAAGAAATTCATGTTCATGAGCCACAAGAGTTTCTGATGCTCACTGGACATGTCAATGTTAATCTTGACTACAATCTAAAGAAAGACTACAACTACTCCCTTAAAACTAGGAGCCACGGTTAACGAGTGGATCAGCACAGGACACTAACCACTGTTAACAGTGCAGGGCCAGGGGAAAAAAATCAGGCCGTGTGAAACAGAATTGATCTTATCAGCATATACACTACAAATACAAGCATGGAAAAAATTACTGGTTCAGCTCTTGAATCATGTGAACTGGCATAGCTGTGCAGTGATTTTCAGTGCAGCTGTACTGATTTAAATACTGTAGTTTATGTTCTTAATAATTTAAAAATGTTTTCCAGCTTTGAACAGACTAGAAATTTAGTTCAGCAACTGTAACTTCTGGCTTTTGTGTTAGCTGCCATTGCCTCTGGACTACAGACTAATGCACCATAACGAAGTGGCTCTTTTCTAGCTGTAGCTCCTAGAATGTGACCAAGCAGACAAGATTTTTGCAGAAAACTAATTTGCAGATTAAGTAATCTATCAATAGCAAAAGTCATGAATCTAAGCCTGAGATGCTAAGAGAAATAAATTTTGGGAAAATCAAGCATCTAAACAAGACTTACAGCGAAAACGTGTATTTCATAAGAATATTCTCTGATAACTATGCTTTGCAGGTTAGACTCCTGTTTAAGCAACAAGACCTTTCTTTAATGGTCTACTGCAGTTACGTGTTAGTCAAACTCATGAAAGTAACAAAATTGATGAAATTTTATTGGCAAAAATCCAAGTTGAATGTGACCTATGTAATTCAACAGAAGCGAGCCTCAGTTTAGTTTATCAAAATACTTCAGTTTTCCAGCTGGATCTGGAATTATCTGTGCAAGAAAGAAAACGAAAATGTTAGTCAAAAACCAAAACCATGCAAACACAACGAACTATAAAACCAGAACAGCATAGTATTTCATAGTATGATGCTAAGGCCAACCCACAGGCAACACTGAAGAGTAATTTACCAGTTAACTTGATACTAGATTTCTGTTTGTCTCACAAGGTACCTAACAGCAGTAGCAGAAAGATTTAACTGACTGGGGGAAGAGAGAGTGCAGCCTACCAAAGGAAGAATTTTGACAGCTGGGAACGCATCTACATTGCTTGCCCCAAAAGCAAGATAGTTTAATAAATTAACATCTGTAATCAAGAGTCTTAGAATTTACTTACAGTTCTTCCCTTGGCCACCACACTCTCATGGCTTCCTCTGGTTTGATCTAATTAAATCAAACACATTTAGAAGGCATGGCTACATCTGTGAGAAAGGCTTTTTGAGCTACTCTGCTATTTAAATTATCTGCATCTTTTGCACAGAGGAGAAAGAGAATGCTTACGTATTGTTTTTCATTTTTAAATGGGTAGCATCCGAGCTGTTAATCTCAGCATTGTAATACTGTTTTTTTAGAAAATATGTTAGTCATATTATTTAGGTGATCCATGGTTATGGAGGACAGAACTTTTCAGTGCCAAAATACGTCTGTTAGGCCAGCCAGCCCTCTTTCATTTTACAGTCTTAATATCCAGCTTCCCGGACTAAGACACTCCTCTGCTAGCTTGAAAGAGGCGACTCCTAGCCCCCGGGCATCCCGGAAAGCTGTCACATCCAGCAAAGAAACATGGTTTAACGTTCCGTTGGTTTTACTGTCTGTTACAATGCTCACTGCTCTGCTTAGAGGCTGCTGGGACCTGCTTTTTGTTGAGACAGCTCTTAAACAACAACGCTCTGTCATCACCAGACGGTTCAGAAGAAAGCCACATGCTCAAATAAATGACAGTGATCTCATCTGAACTAGGCAGCTCAGACCTCTAGTGAAAGTTTCATTATTCTGCTGAGGCTTGATCCAAGCCAGGGAACACAAACAAGTTCAATGGGTGTTTATCTGAACCCCGGCTCTTCTGCTTGTGGTCACACGTAGGCGAGCAGTAACAAAGGAGGAAGAACTATTGTGCGGTAAAGCAGTGCTCTCTGCTGGAGCTCCGATAGTGGCACACTGGCTCTGTCAGATACTACAGCACCCTGGGAACCTGTAGCTTTCTTTTTTGGGTGGTGCCTAGGGTCCACAGTAAGGCTCGACAGAAACAAGAATTTATATGGACAAATAACTGAGAAGATAGGACAGATTCAAGAGTTTCCAACTTCCTCTCATCAGGTGTTAGCAGGAAAAAAAGTTCTTGATCACAAAGTCATTGCTGCTCAAGAGAGTTTTGTTCATACCCAGGGGGTTTGAAACAACTGGAATATGTCTAGTGTGAGGGAAGCAAGCTCCTAATGAAATCAGTGGTAATCCAAAAGCTGTAACTGTAATAATGTGAGTTTACTCATATGATCTAATTGAAAGTTGCAAAGATTTTGGATTTGGATTTAGTGGAAATGATAACTGAGTGTTTTTAGTAGTACATGCACTTAAACAGAAATAGTGACTTACTGTTTCACTGCCAGGTTTCCAACCAGCAGGGCAAACTGGGAAAAAAAAAAAAAAGGGACAAAGTTAGTAAAAGTATTTTTACAGACACTTTTGTGCACTCAATATTCTCTTTCTCAACTTGAAGTAAACCAGCACACAAGTGTCACGTGTAAATATCTGCAACTATTAAACATGCAGTATTCTTTATACGTGGGATGGTGTCATAACATTTTGTACCTGATACAACGTAGCTCTTCTGTTAACTGGAAACTGTGTGTGTCTATGCCTTGGTTTAATTATCGCACCCTTCTAGACAAAGTGCTGGCAAAGCAGTAACTGAGAATGAACACCTATTCTAGTAGAAACGAGAGTTTAATGATAAAATTCAGGTGACTACACAGAGACCTATCTTTCTTTCTTTAAAGCCAATGCTAGGGGAAATCTTTTAGCAGAGAGATCAGTTTAAAGATTCCACAGGAGACTGAGCAATTTTGTTTGAAGCCTTGCTCAGGAGTAAAGGGATTATAGCATGTGGTTAACATGCCGCGTGGCTGGGAGCCCTGTGACCACCTCTACAGTGGCACATTCTGGGGTGCCGCTCTCACCCATTCGGAGCAATCCCCCTGAGCCTTTAGCCCAATCAGTTATGCCATATTGCACTGCTTTAGGGTGTGCTGTCAGACAAAATGCCACAAACACAATTAGGAATTGTGGAGAACTTTTTTCCCTATTCTGTGCAAAGAATCCACTAAGGCGTCTAGGGGGGCTCTCCTCAGCATTCATGCAAAAGCTGGAAATAAACGTGGTACTCTGGCAACGCACTGCAGATCAATATTCTGGAGGACAGCTTTGTAACTAAATGAGGCTAGATTTCCGTAGTCAAATGCGTGTAGCCCAAGTATCAGCATTTATCTTTTTAAATCTGTACAGCAAAGCATAGTAGTGATTTGTACCTTCAGATAAAGGTACTTTCAAATACCGGGTGAAACTGAGTTGAAGTGGAAGTTAAGCTGCTGAACATGTGTACTAATATTTAAACAAACCTTTAAATAAGTGAATGTGTTTAAATAAACACATCATTTAAAGAAATGTGCTTCAACTGGGAGAGTATGAATTCTTGAGACAAAGCAATGATCAGAAGCTGGTGAAAGCTTCGTTGTCAGGGGAAGATGATGACATAGCACGTGTAAAGAAACCACAAGTACTGGCGGTCTGACTTGCACAGCATCGCCATGTATCTCGCCATGAAGCTCTCTCAGTTACTCGTCACAGATCCTCAATGAAGGACACAGGACAAGGATGGCCTGCATCTCAATTATTTTAGTACGCCAAAATGTACTGAAATATTGCGCCCGATTCTTCACAGCCTCACATTTTGTACAGATTTATGATTGCGACAGATGGTAAGCAACGCCTTAATTCAGACTAAGGAATGCTTTATGCTCTGCATTCTCATGGATGCAATGCAAAATGTGCAGTACTATTGTAGAAAAAAACCTATGGAGGTACCGGACCACAGAATCTTGTAGCAGGGCAACCAAACCACTTCATTCACTGCACGAGGCTGGTCTCTAATCCTACCGAGTACCTTTCTTCCAAAAAGCTACAAACGCAGCTTCCAGTCTAAGTCAAACCATCTTTGCCATGAAAGGATTTAAAAGAGCACCTTCTCCGTGTTTGTCTGTGTATTGGAATGCTTGTACTAAACGAAGCGTTTCATCCACTGATCTCCCCACAGGAAGGTCATTCATCGTGATCTGTCGAAGGATTCTCTTATCGTCAACAATGAAAAGGCCTCTGTGAAAACATTTTGTTGGGGGTGTGTTAGGAAAAAGAGCTAATTACCGTGTTGGGTTTACGCACTATTTTATGTCTGCTGGATGGGAGGAATTTGATCTCCGCAAACAATACCCACCACCTTACAGTACTAGTAACCTGCTGTTCTTTATCTGGGGTATCGGGTGACATGAGCTGAGGGTAAGGTAAAAACAAACCCAAAAACTCCGCACAACATAAAACTAAGCTTCGACAGACCCTGCCAGGGGATGCTGCAGATGCTATGATGTTACAGGGATCCCAAAAGCAAGTCGGCAGGTTTATGAAAGATAGATATATCTTGAGGCCATTAGTTACCCTTAGTATTGACTCGGCTTGGACTTGGGAGGTCCCTGAGTAACTGCAATTCTGGAGGATTCTGCGTGTTTGCCCTGCTCTAGATATCTGCTGCTGATTGCTGTTAAACAGACCTCGACCCCTGTTCCGACCCCTATATTGACCTTGACCCCTGTTCTGACTCATTATGACTATTTTTTTGTGTTCTTCAATATTTATTTTGTCTCTCAGTAAAAATCCCCAAGTAAAAACTGCTCTCAAAGAAAAATTTCAAATGCTTCTTTAGACACAGAGTAGTAAGCACTTCGCTAGCAACCCCCCCGCCCTGTAACCAAGTGAAATACCTAAGTGTATGCCCTTGATCTTCCAGATATACTCCGTAATCCTTTGAAATTTGGTGCGTCAAATCTGAAAGAAGTGGAATCTTCATAGGTCCAAGTCCTCCTTGTTTTCGAGGAGTATTAATCCTTTGAAAGAAGTGAGATACAGATGTATTTCTCACAAAGATTTATATTCCCTACAAGTGCCAGTACAGACAGAAGGATTTAGTGCAAGTGACATTTTTTTCATTCTGCACACAACGGAGATGAATGCTGTTTATGGTCTGAGCAAAACGTTCAGCAGATCTTTTGCCACTTTTGGCTACATTTATTAATAATGACCTCTGTCTTATAGGTTTTATTTGCTTTATACCAACATGCTCACGAACTGGGACAGTGTGACGCATTTACAGATACTTGCATCCTTATCTCTTTTTTTTTTTTTTTGGTATTTGAAGTATTTTTTAGACTGAGACATGAGGTATTTCAAGCAATACATAGCTTCAAAGCAACAGACAGCAATACAAACTTCAAAGATACAGGTACTTTCATGCACTAGGGTTAAAAATTTTTACCACCGAAAAATATTTTAAACACTTGCATCAAAGGCATCACACTTTTGCACACCATAGTATACCTACATAGGCTAAAAAATCTGCGGATACGGTTCTTCAGCTAAGATGGACCCATGAACAATATTTAGTGAAAGACAAGGATACGATACATACCATGCTAAGTGAGTGAACTTTGAGTCCACAGAACATGCTACTACTTCGGTATTGATTGCTCTGAATTCTTCAATTCTGTCACTGAAGGCGATTATCTCAGTTGGACATACAAATGTGCTAGATAATTTAAGACAAGATGAAGTCAAAATTTCATGAAACATCCAGTAAGTTCTCTGTTTAACTTAAAATTATGGATTTGTCACAAATGATTTCAGCTTTTACTTATTTTTTTTTACTGCTGCTTCAAGTATTTAACCAAAATACTGCCTGACAAATCTTCCAGCCTCAGACTCTAGCTTAGTCACAAATGGTTTATCACTGAAGAAAATTATAAACCTACAGTTAGATTACAGTCTGGATACAGTGTTTTTACAGTTACTTTCTTTTAGACTTTATGACTATTAGCTATCTGAATTTAAGCACAATAAGCTATTTTTTTCAGAGTAACATACTATAACTTGTTGTTACCATGCATGTCTGTACATTTTAACTATTCTGACTTGAACTTTTTTCCACTACAGAAGAAATAAAGTGGTAAAGATCACGATTTCAGGGCCTTGAAGCTAAGGGCCAAGAGCCATGTCACCCCCTTTATGATATTAAGGTAGTTGTGCATCTCTGTCCTCATTTTGTGGAGAAGAATGGGATTGTCTGGCAGAAAGCAGAGACTTTTCACTCAGCCAGTGAAGTTGCTGCATTCCAAATAAAGGAGGGTAATGTTACGTGTTCTTAGGATGTTACAGGATGTGCTTAAAGGGAAAAGGCCGTCCATGCGCTCTAGAAAATATAGAGGGGATGCCGTCTTCTGTTTGCAGTAGCGATTTACAGCATCCACAGAACGTAAAGGTTGCCTGGCCGGGTACTACAGACTGAACGTTGATTTTTTTTGTGTGGAGACACAAATTAGTGGACACACTTAATTAGGTCAAAGTCTCTGTTACAATTTTACCAATGCATGATGAAAACGCAAATGCAAAGAACCTATTTTCTTCTGTCACTCCTTTCTTCTCCCCCAAACCCTTACCAAACAAATAAACAAGACCTCAAAAAAAGGAGAAAAATTAATGAATTAGGAGTCTGGTGTAGCTGCGCTCAGGCTTGGTATGTCTACAGTGGTCTTACTTACAAGTCAAGAGGATAGAAGAAGAAGACGAGATATTTTCCTTCATAATCTGTTAATTTCAACTCCTTAAACTCTCCATTAATGACTGCTGTTCCTTCCCAGTAAGGTGCTGGCTTGGAGACTGAAATACAAGGGACGTTCAATTAAAAGTCAGAATACGAAGCACGTGCTCAAACAAAGCTGTTCATTAGCTAGCTGGTGTGCAAGGACAACTGCTCCTCCTTTTGCTTGAAAAACAACCTGCTGCACACAGTTACAAAAACAAAAATTCCTCGCCACTTGAAACAGAGGTTACAGAACGATGAAGAAATGTCGGTTTCGGTACACATGGAAAGTAAATAATTTGACCAACCTGTGCTTATACACGAGCCCCGTGAATCACTGATAATCAAGGCCGCACAAACCTTATCTGGGCATACGGAACAACCACGTGTGCACCTCCAGCTCATGGCAGAACGTCTGTTAGGCTGAAGGGGAGGCTGTTTTACAAGTTCAGGAACCCTCACTATTTTGTTATGAACAGCTGTTGTGAACCAAAAGCATAAGGTGGTTTGAATTCATATGGTTACTTTTTAGTCATGAAAACCTACTTGGAATTCAAGTCCACAAAAAATACGTGCTACCACATGTTTAGAGACAAGTGCCTAAAATTGCAGCGTACACTTATTAAACTGCAACTCCTAAGGAAATTGTAACTTGAAGATAGTTGTGTTTTTTAAAAAAAAATCCAATTAAAGCGCACAAAACGTATTTACTATTCCTATCAAAATGGATCACTTGAATTTAAAATATTGAAAATGATTCTGCCAGGTACTATTTTCATAGTAATGTGAATTCTGAGACAAAGGATAAGGTATGCTGGAGATACAAGGTGATCTGAAAACACTTGTGATGGCAAGGACGTTGACATACAGTTCCACAAAATCAGGAAAATGCTGTTGAGAAAAATATACGGAATCTCAATTACAATCTGGATGATGACTGTGGTGTTGGGCTTTCCTTTTCTGAGGAAAGGCCACAGCTGTAGAATATAGCTAGTGAGGATGTACAGCAAGGACTGCAAAAATACCCCAAATCATCAGGTGGGTCACGCCCCCGAGCAGGAAGGCAGTTGTGTTTGGTTTCCCTTGCTATAACCCACAAGGAACGCAGCAGTACCAGTGCATGCAGTCAGCAGGTGGGACTGATAATTTCAGTTCACATTTTTTGAAGAAACGCTCTTCTTCCTCTCAAGTCTTCTGCAGAATTCTTTCTGATAAAGATTTCAAGCCCTGGACTTTTAGTGTGTTTTTTATTAAGTCTTCACAGGTATGGGGCTATTTTCAAGTAAAAGAGAGGCTTAATCTCCCAAGTTATTTTGAGCTCTACAAAAATGTTTCAAGTATGTTGCTCTTTACAAAATACTGACACCCCAAATCTAATCTCTTTGTAGCAAAACATTCTCTTCCACAGACCTTCAGATCAGGAGGGAGAAAGAAAAGAAATGAAATAAAATATGTTGTATCTCAACCCAATTCTAAATTAATTTTTATTTGTTTGCTTGTTTGTTTTTTGTTTAAAAACACTTCTCTGAAATGCTGTAATAACTTCCATTACAAAGGGAGGAAAACCCAAACAGTACTGGTTACAAATATGTTGACTGGTTTTCCATTTTTTAATTAGCATCTGTTTGCAAACGTTTAAAACCGAAGTTATGCCTTGCCTCGGTAGAGGAACAGGATTTCACGCTGAAAATTCTCACAGGGAAGATCGTTTCTACGTGACTCCTCACCATTCTCTGTTCTGCAGAACAGGACTTCTGGAGAGCGTCTGACCCCTTGACCATCTCACTGCGGGTCAACTGCAGCAGATGTTTGCACCTAGGTCTGCCATAAAGGATTTAAACCACAAGAGAGCGTAGGCACAAAAGCAAGTGACAAAGCGTTAAGCGTTACGAGAGGTGACCCTTCAGTATTTCTGATCGCAGCGCGAGCACAAAACACCCCTGTGTAACGTTTAAAGCGTTTCCCTGAACCCATTCACTGTTTGTGGAACCACTGACCTTGCTAAATGTCTGCGAAATGTTAAACTCGCTGCCAGTTTACCACACGTAGGTAAAATATGACCAAAAAAAAAAAGATCAAAACGTAGGGCTGGGAGGGGCGGTGGGCCCCCTCGCCCGTCCCCAGCCCGCCCCGGGAGCAC